CTCTGGATAGCAGCATTTATGATGTGTGATATCCCTAAGACTCTACCTTAAGTGGGCAGCGCATGTTTTGTTTTTTGTTTCTTTGTTCGTCGAGACAGGGTCTCTCTATGCAGTTCAGGCTGGCCTTGGGCTCACTTTGTAGCCTGGGCTGGTCTCGAACTGGCAGGATCCTCCTGCCTCAGCCTCCCGAGTGCTAGGATTACAGGCAGGCGCCACCACGCCCAGTGACAGCACATGTTTTTATGAACTATTTTAGTTTTGCTAATCATCTCAACTAGAGCATGGTGTGGTATGCACTGGTAGAAGTTTCTCTTTTTCCCTTACCAATATAATTCCAGATTTATTCAGGGCAGTTAAATGTACAGCTAAAAGACCACATTCCCCAGTCTCTTTCGCTGTTGGGGGTGACCAGTGGCAAAGAAGCTGCTATTGGATGGGGTTTCTGGGAAGGCCTAGTAGAGGAGGCAGACTCAGTTTCCTCCCTTCCTTTTTCTTCCCTCCGGGAATGTAGGGCATGGTGGCCAGGTCACTGGTAGCCATCCAAGATGGAAGCCGCACACTAAGGATAACGAAACAGAAAGAACAAACCCTCATCTCTCATGACTGTGGACTTTCCAACCAGTGCTGGTCTGCCAACCTCTGTACTTGCCTTATATGAGAGAAACATAAACACTGTGGTCAAATGCATTGTTCAAAATGCCTACTGTGTCTCCCCAATGAGGATGACACTTTTCTACTCCATGGATGGAATGCTTGCCATGTCTGTGCTCTGGCCAAAAGAATGCAAGTGAAAGTGATACGGGCCACTTCTAAATATAAAATTTACCAAGAGCCATTGATTAAGCAGTTTTCTGCACTCCTCTTTTCCTCTCCCATAAGACCAGCAATATCTGAAGCAAGGAATAACTCCTTCAGCCTGAGTCTCCAATTAACATGTTGTAGGGTTGGCCTACAAATGATCTATAACAGACATAGTGTGAGCAAAGAATAAACCTTTGTTGCACCCTGGAAGGCTGAGGCAGGACTTCAAGTATGAGTCTGTCTGGGCAATTTAGTGAGATCCTAACTCAAATTAAAAAGGGAAGGATGTTGCCAGCGTGAAAGCCTTGGGTTCATCCCCAGTACTGCAAAACAACAACAAAAACCCACAAACAAACAAACAAAACTTTTATTGTAGTAAGCCGAGATTTGGGGAATTTGTTCCTGCAGCATGACTTAGCCATGCTTAACCATGCTCCTTAACTGATTCCTATGGACCTCAAAATTTGTTTAAGTCACGATTACTTCAGGATGTGACTTCCCTCCAGCTTCAGTTCCTAACTGATAGGCCCTCCCTATTAGAGATGACTATCACTTGTCCCTGAAAGGACCTAAAATAGAGATTTTAAAAAAGGCCAGGCGTGGTGGCGCAGGCCTGTAATCCCAGCACTTGGGAGGCTGAGGCAGGAGGATCGTTGTGAGTTTGAGGCCATCCTGGGCTACAAAGTGACCTCAAGGGCAGCCTGAACTGCATAGTGAGACCCTGTCTCTAAAAGACAAAA